GGTGGTGGATGGGATGGGGGCGGGTAGGTGTCTGTGTGGGATCAGGCAAGGGCTTGCCTGTATGACTAGGGCCACTCACAAGTTTCCTGCCTGGTAATGCTCTAGCCCTGCCCAGAGACACAGGCAGCAGAGCTGGCCGGCAAAGCAGGGGAAGGCAAAGAGGTCCCGAGAAACATTTTCTGCCTATTTGGTGAGCATTACAAAGACATCCACACACACACTATGTCTTTAGGCTGGGATTTAGATGAGATGGAAGGCAAGCATGGGAGGTAAACACCAATGTGTCTTAACAGACCTCAGAGTTCTTGACCCGCTTGAAGGCAGAGCAGGAGTTGAGGGGTCAGGTGCTACATTGATTATCTGTTAAAGTTGGCTTTCTTAACTTTGGACATTGAATTCTTTATGTGTTGTCTTGATTCTGTTAAGATGTGCTCAGTTAAATAGATCTGTTTCTAATGTTATTTGCATATACTGTACCTCTGCTTCTTGAGGGGTAAGCCAGAGGGAGATACTTGGCTGAGCTGCACCTGATAGCTCCAGGGACACAGGTGTTGAGTAATAGTTTTAGAAACTAAACTAAAGCGGCATCTCGCCTTAATGAGGCGGAGAACAGGTGACATCTTGTGACAGCTGAATCCCCCCCCCTCCTCCTTCCAGCAGAGCAGATTGCTTCGACTGAGTCTGGGCAATATTATTGCAAAACTTAAGCTCTGGGAACTTTGTGTTACCATCCCCAAAGAGCATTAGTGTTCACAGATTGATTTCAGTCGTTCAAACCATGCTCAATCTCATGACATGCCTTCACTCTTTACCGCTCATCTCTCCCATCCTCGCCAGCATCTTGTTTAAAGCAGATTGTAATCTCTTTTGCCGCCATGTAACACTTGCTTTTTTAGCCAGTGGTTTCAAAACTTCACAGCAACCCTCACTGTCTTCCTCGATAACCAGATGCTTTTTTTTTTCCTTTTTCTTTTTTGGCTTTGCATACTTGTCGAACCCGTTCTTACAAATGTGTGGGCATGGAGAGGGTAAGTGAAGAGCACTGTACGCCCATTTTATGAGAACCTTTTTTGCACTGCTGCTGTAAATGAAGTTCAGCACTTTTTCTTGTTCATTTCAGGCTCACAAAATAGACTAGCTACTGTGAATACAGTCCTCTGTATGTGCTTTACCCTATGGATGAAGAGCGCGGTTATTTCTAGTGAATTCCAGCAAGAGGTTAAACTAGGACGCCATATGTGTTTGTATGCGTGAGTGCGTGTGTACGTACGTGCGCGTCTGTGTTACCAACAATAGACTCCAGAGGAATTGCAGGGGACTTCAGTGACTGTGGGCAGGTCCAAGACACCACCCATCAATTTGGCGGTGAGGCTGAATACAGTTTGATATTCCTGTATGTTTGTGCCTGCACCACGATGGCCCAAAACTAGCAGGTTCAGGCAGACCGAGAGGACAGGTTGTGTGATGTCGCCGTGGCAGTTTGAGGCTTTCTTTCAGAATAAAAAGCTGGCAGTATACAGTAGGATACATGTTGCTGTCATATTGTTTGTTTAAAGGTTTATCCATGTGTTAAAATGGCTTTCTACAGTAGATAGTTGTTGTTTTTTTATGAGGAGAATTTTTATGCCGCCTTTTTTTTGACATGAAGGCATTCATAAAGCTTTCAAACGTTACAGTTGGAGTTGTTTCATTTGCCTCTTTCTTATTGAATGCAGCTTCACTTCCCCTCCATGATGTTTGGTTCCCCTGGTCAGCTGCTTAATATACCACAGCTTCCAGCCTGGCTAGACAGACAGACCCCTCTCTGTTGTTTTTCTGTTGTTATGCTGAAGACCAGGGGCAGTAAAGGGGCTTCTTCTGTTCTCTTCTGGGACATTTATTGTGCAGAGTTCAACACAACCTGATCAAATTAAGAGTAAGAGAGTGAAGCCTGGGATGTTTTCAAAAAGGAGCAAAGGCTCTACCTCCATCATAAGAATTTTTAGAGTTGGATGCTTGTTTTTTTCTTTGTGTTCAAATAGAAGGTAGAGATGTTTATGATATTTACCAAAAAAACACCCCCAATTATTGATTTAATGAGAATAAAGCCTGTGGGGAGGCCAAGGGAGGCGGATATGGGACCAGCCTGACACTGTCTGCTCGCTGATGGAGTTACTTGGTTTGCAGTGAAACAAGAGAAAGACAATGTGTGGGTTGCATTAAAGTATGGCGAGACATGGGGAGGTGGGTGGGTCCGAACAGCTTTGCCTCCTCAGCAGTGGAAAGGGGAAGTGGGTGATGTGGTGGATACTATGCAGTTCACAGTCTGAGACAGAGATGGAGCAATGATGAGATGAGAGCAACAGATGAGAGGAAAAGAAGGGGGGGGGGGTCAGACAGTACGGACAGGGAGACAGAGCAAGAGAAGAGCTGGTCATCTGATAACAGAGCGGGTTCTGTTACACGCCTGCCACAGGCTCACAGGAAGTCCTCCTTCCCTGTCGGCTGGGCATGCGTAGAGCTGTGCTTCCATTGCTCACTGCTTGACCACTGAAACTGCTTGACAGGAGCTTTCTTAGCGCCATGTGTTTTGCAACATGAGCAGGTTGTCAAGAAATGCTAAGTTATTATATGAAATTATAAGAGAAAAGGACAAAACTGTAATGCATGTTTGCTTGTGTAATCTTTCATTAAAAAAACATAAAAGGAGCAAATTATGTTTCATTATGTCTGTTTCCACCTGTAATAACCCCAAAGCTGTATGAAAAACACTACATACCCCTTTATTTAAGTTCTCAAGTGGAATTCCTTTAAAGCTTTATGGGCAGGTGGGATTTTACCAGCAGTATAGCATCTTATTTTAGTATTATTCCAGTTTGGTTGGTTATAAAGTTGGAATTAGGGCTGGCCAAGAGAAGGCCCAGTCTAAAGCCGACTTTGGACACCATGGACAACTTCCATTGTGGCTTAGTCGATTGCAGTTTTATAAACCTTTAAATTGTCGTGACGTTTGCACTGAGTCGTTTTGTACACAGAAGCTGATGATTATTTACAAGAGGAATGAAAGTTGGAGGCAGCGCAGAAGCAAACATCTTCCTAAGGAAAGCATTTGCTGAGCATTGAACATCTAAGGTGTTTCCAGTCACGGTTATTGCCTGATAATAAAAGTGCACTGGTGTAAAATTTAAACATATGACAGCAGTTTAACTGGATGCTGTTTCACCCATTTTTATACTGCTTTCCTTTTTATTACATAGTTACTTTTGCTGGAATTGCTTTACATGCTCTATTCGTTACAAACAAAGATTATTGACACACTACCTCCATTTCCTCTCTGCATTTCCGTGGATTGCTGTTTAATTTAAACATGAAAGTAGTTTAAAGGTTCTTAAAATAGCTTTTACTACTATCCGTTGTGGTTTTGGTCCTTATTAGGCATCTTTCCAACTCTATTTAAACTTAATGATGACGCCATTAGTGCTATCTCTTGTAGGTAACCGCTTAATACCCCAAACCAGACCTTTTTTTAGTCCTCTGAACTTAATTTTTATTTGTTTGTCTTATAAAAAGCAAACTTGCAACTTTTAGACGAGTCCCAGGGTGTTTATTTGAGCATGTTTGTTTCTACAAATGAGTTGAAAAGTCATTTTCTGCTTAACAGTATGACACCTGTGCTGTTGCTCAACCAGCCCCTGTCCTCCCCCCCAGCCTGAATGTGGTTACCTTTCCTCTTACTGTAGCAGGTTATTCCAGGTCTAACAGTAATTCATCCTGAGTTTATCATTGACATCTGAGCCAGATTCTTTGGCCCCAATTTGCTCTAAAGTTAAGAGCGAGCCTGCGAGTTTAACTCCCTGTCTCGCCCACCGCCTTCTCACTGGCTCTGTGTTTTGGCAGTGCTTCCTGGTTAGTTTCTAGTGAAAGCTGCCAAGCCTCGACCAGCCCATGCAACTTTAGGTTTTTATCAGACCCTAGCCTATTTCCTGATTTGCTCCTAACGCGGCCAATCAGGTTTCCTTCCACTTTGGCCAACAACGAGTCACTGAGCAGTGGCAGTTACTCAAAATCCAACACACACAAACACACCCCAGGGTAAAACTACTCACACTTCATAGTGGATCCTTCTAGATCCGTGGGAAAAGGTCTCCATATTTTCTCCACACTCATACAAACATAAAAGCCTCTGAAAACCTTGTGTAATTCATGAATAATTTCTACAAAAGAAAAAAAGATCTAATTTAATTGTTGTTTCACGTTTATTTTGTCAAAGATTTTATTAGAGCATCAGTCGGGACAGTTTTTGCCATTTAGATCATGCTCTTTGTTATAAATGTGTAATCAGTTTGTTACTTTGGTATCTTTCATACCATGAGAATATCTGACTGGCCTGTGCCTATTTAGTACTTCTCTGAAATAGACACATTTCACTATATTTTAACTTCTTAAATTAGTATTAGCCATGATGTAGATTCTCTCATTAGATTTAAGGAACTAGAAAGTGAAAAGAGAAAGATAATGGGGGGGGGGATTGGTTGTGAGTTTTTTATAAATGTTTCTAATCTGTTTATTTCGTTATGTGCGAAACATCTGGGTTACACACAGTTAACAGTTTGTTTGCTTGCATCTAAGAATGACTGGTATGTGTCAGGCAAAGATTGAGAGACATCCAGCGCGGATATTTTCGAGAGGTTCCACAGAACGATACATGTCAGCCAAAATAAAAACCATTCCTGGTAACTCCCGCCTCATTTGACAGTCTGCGACAAGCAAATTGGCTCCAACTGTCTCTGTGCAGATGTTGATACATGTCGTGTTCGGTCAACTGATTAAAAAGGGGGGAAAAAAAAAAAACCTGGAAAAACAGAAACGTCTCTTACACAACAGCGTCGGACGGATATTTGGGAGGGGGCGAAGAGATGTTGCGGAAGAGCTGAATGAGATGAGGGTGGTGATGGGATGGGTCGGCCCTCAAGTTGAGGCGGTTGTTTGACTTGCAAAGCAGGCCCGGGCGCTCGTGGCCCGATCACTGAGGAGAGGGCCCTTCCCTGAAAGTGGAACACAGCGTACACGGACAGCTGCGCTGCCGCTTTGTGCTAGATTGCTGGCCTTGTCACCCACAGGCATGAATTAGTGATAAGGAATGTTTCAAGCCATGAGGAGGTGTCAGGATCAGGTTTGTGGCTCCATGTTTCCTCTTTCTCTGTGTTCTGTGCAGGTTTGTTTAGGGACAGGTTGCTCCTGCTTGAAGAGCAGTCCCTTCTCTGGCGCTGAATCAGATTTTATGTGTGTGCGCATGCATGTTCGTGCCTGTGTGAGTTTTATCTCCTCGTCAGCTCAACGTCTTTACCTCGCAAAGCCATGACCCGGGGTCAACTCTGGGCAAATGGGGGGGATACAGTAGCGCGGTTCGCAGCCTTGCAGCAAAGCCTGGTTCAGAGCAGGTGCTGTAGAGCTGCCCTGCTAAAGGAAAGCAGGTCGGCTCGGCTCTGGATGCGGCTCTCAGAGATCTGTTTCCACCTGCAAAGGACACGACGGGGAGCCATATGGATTCCCTTTCTTTTTCTCTTCCTTCCTATCTCATCCCATTCTCTTTGCCTACTGTGTCATATCTCTCTCTCCTCCCTTAACTTATGCAGATGAGGGTTGGGGTAGTAAATTAGCTTATGCCATGGCTGACAGATTGTTTTGAGTAGAGCTCTGTTAGAATCATTGGCCGTTTTCTCAGACCCTATGTGGTCAACTGTCCACAATGATATGATTTAAGAGACACAAAGACAAACTGTGCAGCCACTGTTCTCATGGGACGACAACCTTGATTAAAAACATCCCACTTTACTGTATCAGAGTTAACACTGAAGGTTAAAGCAAAGATGTTGTAAAAAGACAAAAGGTAACATTTATTCCAACACATTTACATTTATGACAAAGTGTAACTTTTATTTATCAAGTTCATTATTATTATAATCATTTCTTTTAAAGTCAGACGGTTTCCCTTTCTGCGTACTGTATGTGTGGAAATAGTGTTATTATGATATTTTGTTGTTATTTCTTGTGAGGATTATCAAAGTGAAATATCTGAAATAGTACCTATTGTTTATTACCATAAACCTATAACTCCGTACACCCAGCAAAAGCAAATATGGGTGTTCCCATACATTTTTTTGGTTCAGATACAAAACTGATATCGCAGCTTTGAGTATTGACTGATACAGATATCAACCCAATACAATATCTGCATTAATTATACACTTTTATTGCTTTTTTTATAATATGGAATGATAGAGAAAGCTTTTTAAAGTTGTATTTATCAAAAAGAGATTAATACTTAATAAAATTAGACATTAGATCAACTGACCCATTTCTTATTCACCATAAACTGAAGCAGACAGAAGTGAAGTGTATCTATGAGTTTTCTGATATTGGGGATCTTAAAGGCAGGAGGATATATTCCGATATTCAGTTCTTGGCTGATATCAGACTGAGTTCCCATATCAGTAGCATTAAAAGCAAATACTATCATGAAAATAAAACCATCACCAAAAAGGCCACTTTACTACAACAGCAGGCAACGTGATAATCAAAATCTTACTACATCATGAACTAGAGTTCCTTTTTAAAAGGACAGGAGAACTGGTCCTGTTCATGATTTTGTTTTTTTTATTGTATTTCTGTAAGATTGAGATAATTCCCCTGTACAAGCTGTGCCATTTCTAGAGCAACACAATAATAACAAACGGATGTCATTTGTTGCCCAACAACAAACTCTACCTGTAGTCATCACTCTAATGTTGGCGTCACTTTAAATGGACTTTAAACTGCAGTAACATTAAGATGTAGCAGTTTAGTGGTTTTAAAGCCAAAAGTTGGTTCATCTGAACACTGGAAACCAACTGATGCCTTAAAGTCGGCTGACATTTTACTGGTAATCACACTTAGCAAAGCTGGGCAAACTGTTCTATCATTATCCTCTGAGCGTACAGCTTTTTATCTAAATGTTATCTTCATTATTACTTTTGGCTCAATTAAGCAAACTTTGACCCAGTTAGGAACTGATGTGAAGGCGACACACCTCCTCAGCCCTTATGGGCTCCTACGCACAGAGGGAAGGATAAATCGAATTATGAAGTGTCTGACTTTACAGGTGTGGACGCAGATAGGTGTTTCCTTACAGAGGATAAAACAAAGCATAACAGGGCAGAGGATGGGGCTGAAGAAAGAGGGCAAACTCTATTAAAAGAGGAGGGGCAGCCAGGTTAGGCAGGTTTGGTGATGAGGTGCAGCATTCGAACATACCAGGAGGATTGATCGCCAGGAATCTTGTCATTTGAAGCTTGTAGAGAACAAACCATTTAACGCAACAACCGCTCAGCCTCGCCCCCCCGCTGGGTCTGCCTGGCAGATGGTGACGAGGGGGGGGAGGAGGGGAGCTGGACAGGGTGGGTGTCGTGTGCGTTTCTGTATGTGTGTGATTTTGGTGTTATTGATGTTACTGTATTCAATCGTGTGACTGAGAAATCGAGGATGGACCGCTCTGCCCAAACCCACCCCCACCCCCCCACTGCCTAAGCTTCAGTCGATTTATTTTAATTCCCACCAAACACACATGCACAGAAAAACACACGTGAGCGAGGGGACAGGCCTTTTCCGAAACTTGGCACGCAGTGCAGGGTGGGGTAACTAGCTCAGACCGGATTGACAACCTCCCTTTTTAATGTTGTTCCTTTCCCACTCGCCGTACGTTCTCTTCCTCCTCCTGTCGACTCTTTCTCTTTTTTTTTTTTTCCACAGGGTCTGCCTTTTGCAGGCTTCTCCACATCCCCTAACCCTCCTCTCTCTTCGTGTTCCTCCACTTTCCTTCCTCACTCTCAACTGTCATAGAGTGCATAGGCTACACAAACCCAGCTCCCAGCATGCACTCTGATCCCCTCTGCTTATCTGTCCTCCACGACCTCTTTCTTGATGTCTTCCGTAGATGTATTCATGTATGCAAGGAAACAGGCACCCAGCCACCTGCACACATGAAATACATAAATATCTTTATGATTCTCCCATTTCCCATATGCACTGCAAGTAACTAATGTTTCACACTTAGTCATCTATCTGTTTTGCCATTAGTAAGAGTAAGAGTAGTCTCTTTTTACCTCTTTCAAAATACATCAGAATCTGTCACGAGGTGCAGAGCTTTGGTGTTACCATATGGCTTGAAGACTCTTGTCTCAAGGCTCTCCAGTCCGGCTGAAAGGAGCGATATGTAAAATATTCACACTGAAGTTCAGTTTCAGGTCAGACGGGGACAGATCTTGATTCAAGCCTACTTCATAAGTTGAATTATTAGGGAGCATGTCATTACGAATGACATGTTAGGATATTTAAGAGTTAGTTAAAAAATTATTAATCATTTAATATTACAAAATGTATTAGGGAAATTCTATATTTTTTCTCTGTTATCATACCTGAATGATGTTTAATGTAAAAAAAAATCTGGTGTCAAACAAATGATTAATTTTGAGGCCATTTTCAGAGTTAAAGAAATTAGATAAGGGTTTGATGCACATAGAGAGATTATCTTTTAATCCTTTACATTTCTGTTGAATCAGACCTATGGCCTCTAACAGATAACTCTCAGGACTTTTTTCATTTTCGATCTAGCTGCCATAGTCCTTAGAGAGAAGAAAAAAGCCACAAACTGCGTGGTTAGTGCATCTCTAATTATGAATAGATTAGTTATTGTTTCCGTATCTTTAACTGCATATTGTGCAGGGTAATAAAAAGCATATAAAGATAATATGAGCAAAATGTCAAAATTTTTTGTATTTACATCCTTGCTTCTTCATCCCTTGTAGATCTTTCTCACAGCTGGTTTATTAAGGTTTTAACCAGGTTGTAATAAATACTGCCTATATTCTTTGATTGGATTAATTTCCCTTGTTCTTGGATTTTATTTAATGTTAAAAATGTTTAGTAATGTGTGGATCTAATTTTGCAGATTTCTGTCCCATTCAAACAATATTCCTCTCACTTTACTATCGAAAAATGAAAAACTGACTGACGAATCTTTTATCTATCTGTTATTTTATTTCAGATAGGCAGACAGACAGACGGCAGGACGGATACACGGGTGGGGGCTGTGCTTGGCGGCTCGGCGGCAGGCTGGTGGAAGATGTCGTCAGGGGCCGGTGGGAGAGGAGGAAGGCGGCTCCGGGGTATAACAAGCACTGGGGGCGGGGGAAGGCGAGGAGGAGCAGGAGAGGCAGAGGAAGGTCCTGTGGGGATCCCTTTCCCTGAACACAGCGCAGACGTCCTGGGCAGCCTGAACAAGCAGAGGCTCAGCGGCCTCCTTTGTGATGTGCTCTTAGTCACCCAGGACCAGGAGTTTCCGGCTCACCGCTCTGTCCTCGCATCCTGCAGCTCTTACTTCCACAAACTCTTCACTTCGGGGATCGCCGCCGACCAACAGAACATCTACAACATCGACTTTGTTCCAGCGGAGGCCCTGGGAGCTTTGCTGGATTTCGCCTACACGGCGACGTTGACTGTCAGTCACAGCAGTATTGCTGACATCCTTGCTGCTGCACGCCTCCTGGAAATCTCTCCTGTCCAGGATGTCTGTACTCACCTGCTGGACACCAAAGTGCTCTCCCCGCCGGTGAGACATCTTTAAAAAAACAAAAAATTGTTGATAAAGGTTGTATACCCACTATCTGCAACTTTAGCTTTAGATGCAAAAACACTACAAAGTTTTACAGCTGAACACAACCATACAACCAGATACTTTAAAGGTATAGAAGACGATCTGTTATTTCCTGGTGGATCATCTAAATAAGTGGTCCTCCTAATTGTCAATTATTCTGGTGATATGTTTATGTAATGCCGTCCAATGTGCTCGCCCATTAGTTATCTTTTTCTGCGCATGCACACTTTCAGGTGTGTGTGTGGTTAGCTACAGTTTCAGACAGTCATTGAAGTTCACCTTTCCCACCGAGGTTTGATTTGAAATGCTTGAGGGTCGTAAGAGAAAAAGTATCTATGAAGTGTATTAGAAGAAAAGAAAGGCCTCAGAAGAGACAGATATATTCCGGAATGCTTTGCGTGGAGAGTTCTCCTCGCAAAGCATTGTGGGATTTGCTTTCACAGAGACCCGCTGCCGCCATAGGCTGTCACTACCCAAGAAGGGCGACTAATAACAAAGATGGCAAGCTCCACACAGTGGAGGAGGAGTTGCATGACCAACGGGGAGCAAACAGTAGTGATCATCTGTCCGAACGGTCAGTTAACTAAGTTCGCTTTTAAGTCCACTATATAGCCCCCGCTCTATATAGTGATTGAGGGATTTAGGGGTTGGGTGGACGTTTGGACACAGTTAGCTTGTATGAGCTATGAGAATTGCAACTTTTAAAAAGAGCGCGCACAAAGAGAAACTGGCTCATGCATGCTTTCACACACGTTTAATAGTCTTTGAACGGGTACAGGATTGTGCATTTGCATTTTTTTTTAAGTGGAGAGGGCGAATCTTTTAAAAAATTTGTGAAAATCCTCCAAAATACCTTTAATGTGTTTATCTGGATTAAATGTGACCAACACACAGTTCTATTTATTTATGAAATAATATACATAAATGGGACTTTTAATGTCTTGGAATAGATGAACAGACCCCACCCGGTTGGATTTAGGTCTTGACTTTTAATGCACCATTTTCCTCCTGCTGGAAGGATTTTTGAGGTTGCGACTTAATAGACATGCACTACTTGCTTTATATATTTCATGTGTACAGTTTTAATGGCCAATCGTTTAAAAACAAGTTTGAAAAAACTTATTGTTTTAGGCGGTTTGAACGGGGAAGCTACTTCCTTTAGACCATCCACATTGAAAATAATGCATACAGTCATCATGGCACCCACCTCAAAAAAACAGTCAGCATAAACAGCCTTACATCATGGCCTGTATCAGTGCCTCTCACTATGCCAAACACACACCCACAGCTTGGAGTTAGTTTAACACTTACTCATGCTGAGCCAACAACATTTGCTGAAGCACAGCGTGCTCCTTCACAGACTACAGACACAGCACCGTACAACATCTTCAACTGCAGCAGGGATGTTCGCCTGTGGAACGGCAAATCATTCATGCTGCAGTCAGCTGTTGGTGGATATGTATGTTTTATTGATTTTTTTGTTTGTGTAAATGTTCAGCCCTTCAGTATAGGTTTTATATAATTCAGATTTCTGTTGTTCAAAATATTTCTTTTTTAGTTTATAGTGCTGTAGGCGGCCATAAATCATGTGACCCGGGAGGAAAGCCGGTGTCCAGCTGAGTAAGAGAGAGAGAGCTGTTTGTGTAAAAGTTGGTTTGACTGCTTTGAAAGAAAGATGGAATTAAATGAATAGATTTTGTATTTGCAATTATCTGTAGAGGTTAGCAGTGTTAAATAGCATTTTCTGTATTCCTCAGAATCTGCTGGTGAGGATTCTCAGTCATCCAGGTCATAGTCATTTGAAAGAAGTTAAAAATCTACTGGACTTTGTTTCCAAGTTTGAAGAGGTTTTGCTTCCCATCAAGGGAGCTTTTTCAATTCAAAATGTCAGAATTAGCGTTAAGTTCGAGGCTTTATTGAGTGGACCAAAACAAAGCCTTGTTTTGGTCCAATTTGCGTCCGGTTCAATTTGCATATGTTCTAAGCCAAAGTGTTTTGAGCCATTCTATAAAGCCTCGAACTTAACGCTAATTCTGACATTTTAGCTCAACATTTCCCAAACAAGAACTTTTTAAAGCACAGAGGGGGTCAGTGATAAAAACAGTCAATGTCGAGGCAACATTTTCAGTTTCTGATGAAGTTAGCTCTGATCAGTTTGTCCTTTTTTATTTTTTCAACAACACGTCTGTTTATGGCAGGGACTAACTGACACTGGATTCCTCTCCACTGATTTTGGAGTAAAAGAACCAGATCCATCAAAGTCCAAAATGACCACTGAACACATGAACGTCTAGCTCTCTGAAACAGAAAGAACAGCCAACATTCCTCAGTTATATGCTTCTGCTCATGGAAGGTGAAATTCGTCTGGTTCCAGTCTCCGCCGTAGGGTTTTTATTTTACCGTTAGCTTTTAACATCGCAGTTTGTCATCCAACTGGCTCCGCTGTTCTATTGTTTCATAAAAATATGACCTTTTCTAGAGGTTTGCACTTCGTTTTATGTTTATAGTTTTTTTATGATTGTATTCTTTTTTGAATGCTTCAAATGCGTTATTCTTTTCTTCTTAGCTGGTGGTTTGCACTCACTTTCATTAATGCAAATCTTCCCTTCCCAGACTCACTTTTCCTTTCTTATCCCAACAGGCGGGCAGTGAGCGAAGAGACGAAGACGAAGAGGGGAAATGCAGAGGAGTCAAGGAGCAGGGGAACCGAAACCGAGCCCGGGAGTACCTGGAGTACTTCCAGAGAGGGGCGCACTGGAGCAGCAGCTGCAGCACGCCAGAGCTCAGGGAACTGCCCACACACCTGCACTTTAATCATGGTAACGGTAGCACCCCCAGCAATGGGACTCCTGCTGGCCCCGGAGAGTACTACTCCCCCCTGGCCCTGGCCTTGTCACAGCCCCATGCACAAGAGCCAGAGGAAGAGGATGAGGATGAAGAGGAAGATGAAGAGGCAGTTAAGGGCAATGGAGTCAACCTGGGGTCCTCATACTACCCTTCATCTCAGAACGGCCACTTCTACCTCCCCTCCGAGTCTCGGCAGGAGACAGAAGTGGAGGACGGCTGTAGGGAGGTGAGGGAGGGAGGTTCTGCCAGCGCCCTGCTACAACAAATGATGGACTCCATTGAGAGGCAGAAGAGGCGTGCAGCAGCCGGGGAGGAGCAGGGAGACGGGGACGACCCCGACATGGAATTTTACTTGAATTATTTTAGCAGCACGCAGCACGAAGACGCAGCTTCCGCTTCGCTTATGCACAGTGTGCCGTCGCTGTGGATGTCACGAGGCAACGCAGGCCAGCACACGGCGGTGGGAGAGAGGGTGGGCGAGGAGAGAGGAAACGGAACCGGAGGAGGTGGAGGGGAAAGAAAGATGCGCTCTAAGGCCTTTCAGAAGTGCCCCATATGCTCGAAGGTCATTCAAGGTGCAGGCAAGCTACCGCGCCATATCAGAACACACACAGGAGAGAAACCCTATGAATGCGCCATCTGCAAAGTGCGCTTTACCAGGTAAGCCCATTTAATGAAGGGACTACCTCATGTCACATGTGCTAATAGTCTTGGACAAACGACCTAGTGGAGGGAGATACCACAGGGCCAAGAGCTGGAGAATTAGCGCTAACCACCTTAACTTTGCATTAGGCAGTGCAGTTTGTGTCCACGTTTACCCTGATCATGGATTGACAAGGTACTAAACAGATTTCCTACTAATGTAACATCACAGGGCTGTGAGGGAGGGGGCCGGAGTGTTATAAAGGTCAGTTTTATGCTGGCAGCCCTCATGACAAAGTCCTGGAATTTTAACTTCGGGGTCCTATAAAAGAAGGCTGTGCCATGAATGTGTTATCTTGTGAAAGGTGGCCATAAAAGAATGTATTCTGATACACAGGGGGACTGCAGGCCCTGGATGGCGTTCTGATACAGTGATGTGAACTTTTGATCTGCTGTTATGCTGCTTATTGCCCACAGCAGAGTATTTACACAACCCCCTCCTCTGTCACTCCTTCGCTTCTCAAATAAAATCTGCTGCGTGTCCCTTTGGAAACAGATAGACGTGGCTTATCTGCATCTATGCGTCAGGTTTTCCCTTTTTGGGAAGGCTTGCTCTTTCCTACAAATAATTACTTAAATCAATTAATAAGTTGGTTTGTTTTAAAAATAGATGCTACCATCTGAACATATCAAAAACCCCTTTTAGCAAGAGGAAAACTGTTCTTAATTTACTCTCCAGCTAAATTTAACCAACTGGGGAAGGAGGGGGCATTGTGATCTTAATCCTGTTTGATCAGGGTTAAGGGTTTGCCTTGCACAGTATTAAATCACTGCTATCCTTTAAATAATTCAACTCTGTCAGTGGGCCATTTTGTCCAAATGTTGCAGCCTCATTAAGAGCGTTTCCTCTTCATCTTTGTTTGTTAATGTTTTTATGTCTGGGTCACAGATCTGCAAAGGTTACTGTGGCTTTAATCAGCTGCCTGTATCACAGCTAATATAATAACTTATAAGACATTTGCCCTGTTTGAGTGTGTGTGTTTGTGAGTAGGCGGGTTCAGTTGGAGTTGTCCTAACAGCAGCACTTATTTGTCCTGGAGTGTAGGAAGGTTAGACGATTTAAGAGCTTGAAAGCTAGAGGGAGGTAGTAAAGGCTAAAGGGGGGACCGAAGGACAAGAGTCAGAGGAAGGCCAAGGCAGCCTGATAAGTTCAGTGAGCAGTGTTTCGCTGCAATGATATGTCCCAAAATGTTATTCAACTGGATATTAAAACAGTATTTAGCGCTTAGCATGTTTAGCTTTATTTAATGTAAAAATGTTTCCCCTAAAGAAGAAAACTAATCTGAGTTTTCTGAAAGGCCAAGATTTGCGATCCTGGATGGTTGCTGACAGACGGGTCCAGAAGGATAAAAGAGAGAAACCTTGATTGAATTCCATTCAGCCTCACTGTTTAGGGGAATGCAGACGTGTCTGGTCTAGAGCTGCCCTTTAATATACCACCAGTGTTTGGTGAGAGCAATATTGTAATCAAAAGGACTGTTTGGAAGGTAGGATTTAGTATAAAGTACAATACTTGCATATCCCGCATGACAGCAATGTGTTCTGTCTGTTGGATAGTCTTTCCGGGCTTTTGATGCCTGGACTAGTATATATTTGTGGATAAGATGCTGAAGATCAAAGAGTGATGTGAGAGTTGTCAGTACAACCTGGTATCACTTGTATCTGGTCGGTTCACAAATGAGAAAAACTGCAGATTTTCCTGTTTCCCACTAAATGGTTGCTCTTCCAGGCCAATCAAGTTGGTTTTACTAAAATAAAAAATCCACTCTGTTCATGGATTGGTTTTACGTTTAGAATCTATGTGGTGTTAGGAAACTCTAAAAAATGGCTACTCTTAGGCCCTGATCTTTGGAAGGTTTGGCCTCTTATGTCAGAGGAAATGTGTTTGTAGATGCAGTGCAGCTCTTCAAAGACAGTGCAGAGTGATTTGCGTTTTCAATGCAGCAGAGAGCATTTTTTCTGCGTCATATTCTAATGACCAAACTGCAAAAATTCACGGGTGGAGGATACGCAAATGTAAACATTTACAACCTGCAAAGCATTTTTCCAAATCAGAAACTGAACTGCGGCCGCAGTTTTGTGTCTTTTTAGTGCTTCTGAAATTCAGTCACAAACTGACATGTAAAGATATCTGCAGTCATTCTGGCCCCTGAGGAGGAATCGCTACAAATCGCATGTAAATATATTTGGACCATCAAAAGTAACAAGAAAAAACATATATGTAGGTTGGAAAAGATTAATGCTGCAGGATGGCAGACAATCTATGTAGAATTAACACCAAAATGTAAACAATGACTGAATCTAAATATTGTGGCATGTTTATAAAAATAGAAAATCACAGCAGCCTGCAAAGAGACATGGTGGGGGCTGAGGGGATGACAGTGTGCATCTTTTCACTACAGGGATTGTCTTCACCCTTAATTAAATAAAACATAACCGTACACGAAGCTGTACAAGTTTTTTTTTTCTACTTTTATTCATAGCACTTTTAATAGGCTCTAAGATGCACAATAACTATTATTTAGTTTCTCCATCTCTATGGCTTTGAATCTCAACTTTCTTCTATGGACACTTTCAAACTGCAATCTGCTCATTTTAATGGACAGAATCAAATCAGTTTTAGATCACCCACAACACGCCCACTTATTGCATGTACTCTTATGTGCAGTCGCCTCCTATTCTAAATCTTTGAGTTTTTTTACTTCCTTTTTGATTTTTCAGTTTAAGAGCTGCAAAAAAATCTTCTAATTCAGGTCAACATTTGGAGCACATCTATGCTGAATAAATCTGTTGTTTTTTTATGTTTTACTTTACCCATAATATTATTGTACAAGTCCTCATTTAAAATATAAATTAGGCCTCATCAATAGGATAACCTAAACTTCTTTCTTCTTGATTAATTTGAAGACAGGATTATGGTTTTGTTTTGTTTAGTGCTCCAACATTGTAGAGATCTCTTGAGACTATGTATCCAGAGGACCTGTGTTAATGTGCAATCAAGCTCTGGTGTGCGGTCACACAGATAAAGATGTAAAGTTTATGACTTCTCCTCAGCTGGACTTGCAACCCTCACAGACCTGGAGGAGAGCCAATATGTGACAATTAAAAGAAAATGAAATCATTCAAAGCCTATTAAGATGATCCTTGCAAGCGTGAAATTTAGTAATAAATTTGGTGATAATTATTTACTAATGCATAAACCAAATAGTGAAGCTGGCGGTTTGAACGCGCCGCACTCAGACAAAAGTGAGCTGTTTGCTTTGAATGTTAGACATTTTCTTTGTGTATTCTTAAGCCTTGTTTGTCTTTCCTCCTCTCAGGCAGGACAAGCTCAAGGTTCATATGCGAAAGCATACAGGAGAGAAGCCTTACCTGTGTACACAATGTGGAGCCGCCTTCGCTCACAACTATGACCTGAAGAACCACATGCGTGTCCACACTGGCCTCCGCCCCTATCAGTGCTCAAGCTGCTTTAAGACATTTGTGCGTTCAGATCACCTGCACCGCCACCTTAAGAAGGACGGTTGCAATGGCATCCCCTCCCGCCGGGGCAGAAAACCACGGGTGAGAGAACCGGGGCTCCTGGAAGCCCCCCAGAGCCTTCTGAGCCCCAGCCCCGAAACTGGGCCCGGACCTCGCACTATCAGGGGACGGCGGCGCTCCGACGCATCCGCAGAGATGGAGGCTGCTGCTGAGGAGCACAAACACAGTCCTCAGCTGCAGGAGCTGGGGGGAGAGACAGGACCCTGAGCCTGCAGGGGACCACCAGAACGCTGCTGGACGCCACAGTTGCTCTGCACGGCCTGTGAGACAGGCCGTTGGACAGAGAAGACAAAAAAATAAACATGCAAAGGCAATTTAAAAAGACAAAACAACTAACTATTCCTCTATAAACCAAATCAGGGTGTCACAGATCTCTAATCTTTATATTTCTCTCTCCTTTTACTTTAGGAATTGGAATAGACTTGCAAGCACTTCATTTGTTTTATTTGTTAAAGAGGAAAGAACGCTTCAAATCATCCACCCGTGACGTCCACTTTCTGGGCTTTATCTCTTTATATTAGACTCTTTCTTTTCTTTTTTTACATCAGCATATGCAGTTAGGCAAGTGTATGATAGATACAAAGAAACACCAAACAACTATGCAGTTGATTTAAATTTTTATTGGTTTTGTCCTCACAGCCTTCAAGCTCTGAGAGAGGTGACTGTCACGCACCTTCTGGCTGCTGTACCAGTGAAGCCAGGACAAATCCTCCCAGCAGCAACTCTATTTTTTTTTCTATTCTTTCGCAGCTTTGAGATGTACAGTTACCATAGAAACAACATTTCCACAATATGGTATATGCAAGGAAAACTCACCAATGTTTTGATGCAAGACCGTTTTTATTCCGTCTTAATTGTTCCAGAAAGAATCAGGCGAGGGGTTGATTGAAGTGTTACTTACTCTAAAAAAAATGTTGTTGTTTTTTTTTGTTATTGTTTTTTTGTAATCGGTGGTTTGTCTTATTGAAAAACGAGTTTGGCTTGAGTTGAATCCACTTTAGCGGGAGCTCATCGTTCGCAGGAAGAGTATGGCGAGGGGTGGAGGGTTTGTGTTTTGAAGCACTACCGTTCTTAATGTATCTGTCGGCTTAACTACATGGCCTCCTGTCCCTCACAGCCCTGCAATGTCAGAGTTTGTTTGACCTGTTGATTTTGTCTTAATTCTTTATCTTTTTTTTTTTTTTTTTTTTGTTCCTTTGGGTACTCGACACTTTATAATTGTATACGTGTGTATATAGCAGATGCTGATATGGCATTGGCCCTTCTCTCACTGAGGTGTACTCACTAATTTTTCCTTTTTGGCTTGATGTTAGTTTTCTCAGACACAGTTGAAGTTTTGGGGTGAAAGAAACAAAGCTGTGTGAATGTTCAATTTCAAAAACAAACAAGCAAAAAAAAAAAAAGAAAAGAAAAGAATATATAAAAAGTCAGCTAATTGTCAGAAACTTAAAACTTGACATGTACAGTTCCCGCCCAGTGGATAAGAACGTTTAATGAATGAATGTGCTTAACTTTCTACATTTTTGGGTTTTTTTTTTTTTTTTGGGAGTCTGACCTTGTGTGACAAGGTGTGGCTGCAGGTTAAACGAATGGCAGGGAGCAAGGTAGAAAGAGTACGAAGAAGACATATGTGAGCACCTTTTTTTTCTACGTTTGCACAGCTTTACTAAAGATATCCAACAAAGCAGGAGAGGCTTATATATAAAGGAATCTGGGTTGTTGTTCAGGAGAGAGGGAGATTGAGATTAGATGCGTGTATGATGGTTATTCCGCTTCTTTCTTTGCTCCAGGGACCATACAACCATAAGGCAACCTGTGATGAAGAGAGCAATAAATACCTGTCCAAGTTGGGAGGCCAGATAGCCCAGCTGCAGCTGGTTGATGGGGGAGGGGGACAAGTCAGGGGGGGGGACTCACAATGTCTGTTGCATTCCAAAAAAATAATCTCCCCCAGCTCAGCCACGTTTCCAGCCCGGGAGGGGATCAAATCAGACCTTTTTTTTTTTCTCTCCCTCTCTCTGCCTATCCTCTAATGCCCCTGAACCAGCCTGGAGGAGATATTATTATTATTATATTAGAGCCGGGACGCCTGGTGCTGGTAGTTTACTGTACGAGTGAGTTTACATGTACATGTGTTGTGAACGTGCGTGTGCGTGTGCGTGTGCGCGTGCGTGTGTGTGTGTGTGTGTGGCAGCCAGGGTCCCTCTGGCCACATCATCAGTGTGTGAGTCAGCCACAGCCTGTTCAAACATGCACCCTGAGCTGCCAGCCCCTCTGCACTTTCCCTGTGCTATTCACGTACAGGTATCCTGCTGAGAGGAGGAAAAACGCCACCGCTCACACTATCTGCTTTGATATTGTCAGTAAATGCAAGGTTGTTTGGCTAATTTTTCTAGTCTTAACAATGCATGTCCAGATTCCAGGGTTGTATATGAATCCCCCCCCCCCCAACATCCAGCTTATGCAATCAGAATAACGATGCAAACACATCTGACTGTTTTCCTGCATGAAAAAAACGACATTATTTAGTTATCTTACAACCTCAGATGAACAATTACCAGGGAAGATATCACAGATTTTATATGTATATACTTATTTAACAAAAATTATTTAGAAAAAAAATACACACATGTAAACAAGTCTTTCAAAAAAAGAGTGTGTATTTGATTTGCTGCACCAATTTTTTTTTTTTTTTTTGTTTAACACCCAAATCCTGAGATGCTAAACTTGTCAGTAGCAGCTAATTGTTTGGGGACAGTGTAAACAGTGTAAAGCTTTACGCACTGGTCTCTTCTTTCTCAATGAGATTTGGTTCAGGAGTCTAATAGTTTATTTGTTTGCAACTTGGGAAAGCTAAGCCATAGTTGCTTGAAAAAATAAAAATTTAAGCCATACTTGATCAGTCTTTTACCAGTGTGCTAATGTTTTAGGTGCTGTAATAGCCTGTTAAGCCTGAGATTCTTTTTTTTTTTACTGTACTACACATGTTGTCCATGTCAACTTGTTGCAAACTCCAGTTTTTAAAAAAGGACTATTGTTATGAAATCTTTATTAACACATTCCAGATTAAAGTGCTCTAAATGTATCTTTTTCTGAATAGATTTAATAATCCAGACATAACAGACCCTTAGTTGTTAGCTGCTTTTAAAGCCAGGTGATCTGATGTCTTTCCCTTCAGACTTTTAACCCAACACATGATTTTATACAGCATAATATCTCATGGTTTGTTGTTCATCTAAGGTTGTAAATCTTTTATTTAAAGGCATAATACGTTTTTAGAAGAGGATGTTTGGAATTTCTGTGCAAGTGCTGATTTTTGCACCTTATTCGGTTTGAGGCTGGTTATGGAGCACTTTCCTGCAGGGAGATTGGGCGCTTTGGCCAACAAAACGGGTACTTTGAAACAAACCGGTAGCAAATGAGATCAGTCCCTCTTTTCTGTCCATTGTGGTAAACTTGAGTTCCCTTTGTACTTGTTGTTGAGAAGATATAAGAGAGTAGTTCCCACAAGAGAGGCCTAACTGGGTCATGTACACACCAATGAGGTTTCGTGATCCAAAAGAATGCACTTGAAGTTCGCTGTCAGTGATTGTCTTTACGTCTTAATATAAAATATGGAGGCAGAAGAAAGGGCACTTTGTATGTGTTTGTATATCCATCCTTTATTGTGTGTTTGCACATGCACAAGCTGGCAGGCAGGCTGGAGGGTCTCAGGATAACTGTTCTAAACAAGCCTTTGCATCCATCCCATCTGTTCTCAAACCTACACGTGCTTCTGGGGATGAGTCCACGGTTGCACAGAAGCAGAAATATCGCTCTGCAAATCGAAGTGTCGGACAGCAGCTTGTTTATCTTGCAGCTCTCTGCGCAGGTTTTCATAGCACTAGTTTACTCTCGTTGGTCAATGTCAGTCAGGGGTTGTCAAAGTCTTATGTTCCTTTTTTTTTCCTCTTTCATAAATTAAATGGGGGTTTTAATGATTGTACAGCAGCGCTCCCAATTCTAGACCATTGTAAGCTCGTTAACGTCTGTCTTTATTTGTGGTGGTACTTGGAATGGACTGCTTAAACCCTCTGTGTCTTAATGTGGATGATTTTTTTTTCTCTTCTTTTTACCCAACATTACCTGTGAGCCATTATAATCTGACCTTAGGGTAGTTTTTGTTGATTGACCAAAGCTTTTTGTTTTCCATCTTAGTCAAATGCAGACTGAGGATAATAAGTGTGTTTTTTTTCTGTTTTTTTTTTTTTTTTTATTCAGTCTGAACCTCCCTGACTAAGCCATGGATGCTCGTCATCTTTCAGATAATTTTACTTGAGTTCACTTCCTCTCATTCTTTGTATGTTTGTAAAAAAAAAAATGGTTCAGAGGTTCAAGGATGTATAGCCTGTTCTTTATTTTTCTTAAAATTGTGTGTTTCGCTAAAGCTGTTTTTTTGTTTTTTTTTTTGTTTTTTGTTTTCCTATGAAATTTGTACATGGCGGTATGTATGTGTGATTTGGGGGAAGGGTCATAGTTTTGGATGCTGTGCCAGGAGGATAGGGTGTATAAAATAATCGTGCTTGTGGGTGGGGGTATGGATAAAAAGCCTAAAAAGCACTGGAGATGGTGCTTCAGCTGAGAGAGCAAAAGTTTGCACTATTGTAAAAACGTCCTCGTCCTGCTTCTGGGGAGAAGGACCGAGACCTCAACTAAAGGCCTGCAAGTGTCTATGAGCACAGAGCAGCGTGGTCGATACTCAACGGTCTCTCCGAGTCCTATCAAAATCCTCCTTTAGATCTAATCATGTACAGTATGTTGAGAAATATACAGACTCCCAGGAGTAACATACCAAAGCCGGAAAAAAAAATAAATAGGTTTCCTTGTCATCACTGGACATTTTAAGCTACCGATTTTAGGTTTTATTCTTTATTCTAAAGGCTTTTGATAAGAGATTCTCAGATGGAAACAGAATTTTATTTTTAGATTAAGAGATCATAGAGTAAAACTTTATGATGAGCAGTAAAGCTTTTCTGAAGAAAAAAAAACTTGAAATGTTTGACTTGTTCCAAATCTGTTCGAAGGTGACACAGATAGCCACATCTCTATGTTTATTGTTCTGATTATGAATCAATGCCTACCAATACTCCTTTTCTAAGACTGTTTTTGCTCTTGATCTCTGGTGAACTGAATGACTTCAGTGTGTTATCTGAGAAGGTTGAAGTGACTGTAAATGATCTGTGGCCTTGTCTGAGGAGTGTTAAGCTTATTTTGTTTGATTCCAGACTATTGTTGAGTGTGGGGCTGAGGCTGACTCTCACCGGGTTGACTGTTCAGCATCAAGGGCCAAAGCGTGCCTTAGGGATCAACAACAAAAATCTGTTCAATTATTTTGACATAAAAAAGCTGAATTGGCATCCTACGGTAGGGAATTATTTAGTCATTAATGTAAAGACGGCTCGTTTCTTTACTTTTTTTGCATCTGGGTCTTGAACAGCTCTGATGTGTGCTCGCAGCCTCAGCCCCAGACCAAGGTTACTCCGACGCAGGCTACAGGCTCCAACTTTCCCTACATTTTCGTGGGCTGTTTTTTTTTTTTTCTTCAGACTTGACCTCGACATGTATCTGTCTCGTGTTATTATCAAAGATTCTTATTAAATCTATCTGAGAAGGCCACCAAACAAAGACAAACGATAACTAGAACTGTAAATATTCCAACAAAGCAGGACGTGCTGACTGTTAGTATAGCCTATAACGACTGTGGAAAGGGTAGCTTCGTTTAGTCCTTTTGCTGCACCTTGTTTTTTTTTGTTTGTTTTGTTTCTTTTTCTTCATCAGGCTGTTGGTGCTCAGCAAGCCTGAGTGCAGCATATGCAGTACGGCTCCATGCTCAGCATGGCTCTGGCGCTCGCACAGACAGCCCTGGGTCCTTCAGAGGCACAGTTCTGTCTGATTGTTGCCTCTCAGCCAAGTGGACACAGTTTGCACTTGGAGTCTTTGTCAGTCTCTGGGGGATACAAAGGTTAGCACACAGGGAGGATTAAACATGGCCGGTTGGGCAAGGCTGAGTGTTATTTTCAGTTTAGGAAGCCCGAGCGATGAGCACTAGAGTCGATTCGCCAAACTAGCGCGGCCACACTGATACAGGAGAGTTTGTTATATGTTTGGGAAAACAAAGAGACTATTGCTGGTCTCTTCTGTCTTTATGTAAGTACTACTCAGGTGGAAAATTCACTGCTATGCATTGGGTTTCATTATCTGCTCAGTTTATAGCTTGTCTGGTTATTCGTTCCCAGACTTTTTCTGCCATATCCCTCTGAAGAATTTTTGCATCATAGTTCGTCAAGAAGGATTCCCTCAGTGGGATGTTCCTGCAA